GCAAGACTTGGTGTGTGGCCTCAGCTGTGTCCTCAGAGACCAGGACACTGTAAGAGCACAATTATCAGAATATTTCTGTGCACCAGTGTGGTGACATAGTGCTCAAACATTTCAGATTTGAGGGCATTTCAGGTTTTCAGGTTTAGGGTCTATCCAATATTCCCAAATTCAGTTCATTCTAAAATCTGAAACATGGAGCTGGAGAGATGTCTTGTTGGTTAAGAACACTGGCTGTTCTTCCAGAGGATCTGGGTTCAATTCTTAGCACCCACATGGCAGCTCACACCTACCTATAACTCCAGTTCCAGGGGATTCAACACTCTCCTAAATACATACATGCAGGCAAAACACCAATGTACATAAAATAAAAATAGATAAATCATTCATCATTATTATTATTTTGTAATTTGCCAGACACAGTAAGTGACACACACCTTTAAATCTAGCACTCAGAAGGCAAAAGCAGGAAAATCTCTGTGAGTTTGAAGCCAGCCTAGTCTACAAAGTGAGTTTCAGGACAGCCAGTGCTATCCATTTAGATCTTACCTCAAAATACATTTAAATGTATTTTTATATGTATATACATGTATGCATGTGCCTGCTTGTCTGTATGTGCACTATGTATACTCAGGTGCCCAAAGAGGCCAGATGAAGGCACTGGAACTAGAGTTATAGGCAACTGTGAGCTGCCTCATATGTGTGCTGAGAACTGAACCTGGGTCCTCTTCAAGAGCAAGTGCCCTTAACCACTATACTGTGGGATTGTTTTTCTTGAATGAGCACATGGGTGTGCCATATGCTAGCCAACACAAGAATCTCTAGTTCTGAAACCGAAGTATACTCAGCCTGTTCCAGACTGTAAGCGATCTGTTTTAACCCCAAGCTTGGGCCCAGAAGCCATGATGCATGGCTTGAAAGTGTCAAAAGTAGTATGGTTGAAACCATGAGATAGCTATGTAGGATCTCAGGATGGGCATGCCCTCTGCACTTCATTGTTCCTATCTATAAATGGGGCAGGAGAAGGTGCTTTTTGTGTCAAGCAACAGAATCTCTTCTAGTTTTGTTTTCCTTTGTGGGTGCATGTGGTACTGGGGATCCAACTTGGGGTTTCACAAATGCTAACTAAGTGCTCTATCATTGATCTATACCCAAATTAACAATTCTAAAGTGGCATCTGGTACATCCATAATGTTGCATATCCACTGTTGCTACCTAAGTTCAAAACATTTTATCATCTCAAAAGGAAGCCTGGCACTCATCAAGCCCTTAGGCCTCATTCTCCCTCCTCCCAGACCTTTGCTCTCTGGCCTGAGCAGGTGTCTGGTTTCAACAGTATCTACAAGTTCCTTTCCCTAACAGTGAGTCCAGGGCAAAGCTTTCTTGTGCACACAGGTGACAAGAAGGCAGGGAACTTGTCCCTTCCCTTTGTGCTCACACCCATCCTCAGTGGCATTTCGGGGATGGCTCTTCCCAGGCTCCTTTCTTTTCAACATCCATATCCTAAAGTCAGTCTGTGTGTGAGAAGTGGGGGCCACTGCCTGATGCACACAGCCCACTTGATAGACAAAGCAGGGGAGACTGGGGCTGAGTGAAGCCTAGACCAGGGACCTCTGTAGGGGAATGGCTTTCCACAAGCATGTGTCCTCACTTCCCCTCACAAGCCTGGTAGGCTTCAGGTGTAAGGAACTGGACAAATGTCCTCAAAAGCTGACTGAGAAGGGACAGCCAAGGTAGAAGTCAGGCTTTTTTTCTGTCCTTCAGACAGAGCTAATCTCACAAAGCCTCAAATGGCCCAGGAAGATTCCCATAATACATGTGGTCTCCCTCAGGTCCAGTGGCCCTCAGTGCTGAGTCCTCAATGAGGATTCTGGTCCTGCTGAGGTCTATGACAGCCATTCATGTCAGCACAGCTCTCTGCCAGGGCACACTATATCAATAATTAACAAACTGCAATTCATAACACCTTACCTGACATAGCTCATGGATCTTCAGGGGCTTTCCAACTTCATACCCAACTGAGGGGGCTCACTGTTTTGCCTTGTGGTGAGCAAGCACGGATTTCCAACCCTTTTCTTGAGATAGCATGGGGGCCACTCTAGCACTGAAATCCAGCCTCTTGCCAAACTGCTGCTGTTTACTATGCCCAGCAAATTCTTTGTTTTTATGTGTTTGATTGTTTTGCATGCATGTATGTCTGCACCTATGTCCATGCCTGGTGCCTTTAGAGGCACCAGAAGAGGGAGGTATCTGATATCCTGAAACTAGATTTATAGGTGGTTATAAGCTGCCGTGTGGGTGCTGGGAATGGAACCCAAGTTCTCTAGAAGAGCTGTTAACTACTATCCCCTCATCTACCCAGCCCCAAGGCTCACATTCTTAATTTGATTATGAGTATCTTACCCTTTCAGGGCCTCAGTTTCTGTTCTGTAAAATGGACAGCTACCAATCCCTAAGTAGCCTCCAGTGGTCATCTCTACTCTGTGCTCTGGTGAGCTGCTCTCCTTGGCACTGTGAGCCACTGGATTCCTCACTGAAACAGGTCGCTAGAAAGTAGCCATGTCCCCTTGCAGATTCTTTCCCAGAAATCCCCAGCTTAAGGGGCTGAAGGACAGATGTTTGATAAAGGATCCTGAACAATTCCAACTCTTTCTGCCACCGTGCTAAGAGTACAGTCTGAGAGGCAGCATCCCTGTAGCTTCTCCAACCACAGGGTTACTCAGTAGATTGTGGTGACACACATCTTTAATCCCTGCAGAGGCCAGTGAATATGTATGGGTTCAAAGTCAGCCGGGTCTACAGAATGAGTTCCAGGACAGCCAGGGCTGCACAGAGAAACCCTGTCTTGAAAACCAACCAAACAAGCAAACAAAAAACCAACCAAACAAAAAGAATCTCTTTCTCCGGGGCCACCCTGATTTTGAAGTGTGAGGGTTAAACAATTTGGGGGAAAGGCAGGCACCTCAGGCTTCCCACAGCAACTACCCACCCCCTTCTCAGTTGGCATTCCTTCACACTCATGGAATTCCTACACAAAGCCCCCTTTTTCTTTTCTATGAGGTCACCAACACAGAAGTCTAAGAGAGAAAGAACAGCTCCTTGTGGGTAAAGACTTTGGAACTGAATGCATTTCATACCCAGTGGCCCCACCTGCAATCTCACAGCTCCCTCAGGGCCTAGCTCCAGGGGTGGGACTAAGAGATTTGGGGATGTTGTGATTTGGCCTAGCATAGTTCAAGAAGCCTGTCTAGGAGATCAGCTCTGCAGTTGCCAGACCACATGAGAAGTCACCTGTGTGTGAAGAGGGGGTGAAGAATTAGAGACAAGTGTGCCCTGTATATGTGGTTCTGTATTCACACAGCAAGTCCTGTTAAGAGTGACAGTTGTCAAAATTCCAGGTCATACTCTCAAGTTCAAGTTCCCAAGATTAATGTCACAAAAGATGTGCCCCAATTCTACTTCTTTCTGGACCTTGGATCTGAGAAGTCTACAGGTTTGGCTTGAAGATGGATTGTGTGTATATCACCAAATTCAGACAAGAACAGGAAAAGTTGCTGTTAGGAGTGGGAGTATGTGAGGTGGGGTGTTCTACTAACATTTTCAAAACAAAACAAAAAAGTCAGGTAGTGGTGGCTGACACCTTTAATCCCAGCACTTGGGAGGCAGAGGCAGGTGGATCTCTAAATTCAAAGCCAGACTGGTCTACAAAGCCGGTTCCAGGACAGCAAGAGCTACACAGAGAAACCCTATCTCAAAAAAAGAAAGAAGAAAGAGAGAGAAAAAAAGAAAGAAAGAAAGAGGAAAGAATGAAGATGACATTGTTATTACCAGGGTGACAGAACTGAGAACAGAGTAGATAATCCACTGCCTGCTCAAAAACTTCAAACCCTTTACAGATACCTAAACCATCATAAATGACACCTTGTTCCACAATCTCCCTGCTTCTCAGAGGCCAGAGTCCAAAGGACAAGCAAAAAGGTAAGTGCATTATGCTGCCTATAATGACATCAGCAAAAACTAAATTAAATAAAAACATACAAGCAAGGCCTATTTTTTACTTCTGCAAATCACAGGCCAGATGGAGAGAAGTCTATCAATGCTGGAACCGATGTTAAGCCTTCCCATAAGATCTATTATTTCACACCTTACATTAAGGCATCACATTGCAAAGCACTTTGCAACTGCTTATCAGTTTGCAGACACTTTTAGAAGGGGGAGAGATAACTCTTACTGCTGGAGGACATAAAGCTGGGCAGGCATAGCCCAGACCACACAGGTCCTTACATATATCCCTCCTTTCAAACACCAGAAACAGAAGTGAATAAGGAAGGGACTGGCAGACTCAGCTCTGAATGATAGGTGACAAGGAGCCTTTGTAAAAATGATCGTGTCAGATATTCAGAATGAGAGTGAAGCCCTGAGGTAGCTCACTCTTCAGCTCCCCACAAGGTCAGAGAACTGAGCTCTTCCTGGAGCAGAAACCAGCTTTGTCTCCAACAAGGGCTTAGAGGTACCAACCTGTATCTAGACTGTTTAATTAGTAATACATTTATTTAGATGGAGTCTTGAATAATCCTGGGTAGCCTGGTACTTGCTATGTATTTTGAGGCTGGCCTAGAAATCAAAGCAATCCTCCTGCCTCAGCCAAAGTGTGGGGACTATGTGAACTACCATACCTGGCTATCTAATCTTGAATGATTCACCAAGTCCTCCACCCTCACCTCCCTCTTTGGTTCAGCCTGAGAAGGGAAATATTACTCTCCTTTTGACTAGTCCCTTCATTCTGATGGCTAAGTAGCCTTTGCAAAGACCTCTGCTAGAATGCTGGAACTCTGTAGGCCCTGTGGAACCTGGCCTGTCATAACTCACTTAGCTTTACAACATTCCAGAAGAGCAAAACACAATAAAGGTGCCGGTGTGCCTTCAAGTTAAGAAGGCTGGCCCTAGAATAAGAGATATGAGTTTAAATCCTGACTTAGTCATTTACCAGCTTATCAACTTACCTGTATATTGACTTTGTGAGTTCATGGGAAGACTACAGACTGTCCAGACAAGCCTGGGTTCAAATTCTTGGTCTGCTGCATACTCTGTAGTCTCTCTGTGTCCCAGTTTCTTCATCTATAGAATGGGCACCATGACAGATCTCATCTTACAGTATTGGTGAGCATAGATGGCAGGAAATGACTTCAAATTTTTGTGCACCAAGCCCAGCATAGGGTATATCCTCAATAATGGGGGCCACCAGTCATAGTGCTACTTTCCCAAAACTATGCCAGCCTGTCCATCTCTCATAGTGTCAGTTTTCTCGTCTGTATAACAGAGACAATAGCCTCTGACTTATGGTGAGGCCTAATAAGTACAGGAGTGTTGGTATCCTCAGTGTCCAGGCTGTCTGTACACATTAGCAAGTAAACATCAAGTCCCAAGCCCAATGGAAGGAGGAAGGACCTCGAAGGCAGGCAGATGGCTCAGGTTCTGGCTGCCACCCTCTCTGGGCTGTCCCAAGGACATGTTTGATCTCTATATGATTCTGATTACTTGTGCACAAAACCAAAACCAGAATGGGATCCCAGGTAGAGTTAAGGACCCCAGAATCATGCTCAGCACACAGTAGGTACTCTGTAAACGATTCAATCCCATTTCCCTACTCCCTCCTCACTCCACATGCCACCTGGAAAGACCAGGCTCTCCACTTTTAGAAACCTAAAGAGCTCTAAGTCCTGGCCAACGTTTAAGTCTGAGACTTGAGTTTTCAGAGATAGCAAAATTACTTTTTAAGTCATTTCTGAAGCAGACAGGGCTGAGTCTCACAGACCATGGGACCATTTTAAATCCTGAGCCTTTTCTTCTGGGAAGTTAGGCAAGAACCTTCCCAAATGTTTGCTGTGGGGCCCTCTGCCAGGGAGTGACTCACTCCTCCGCTCCCTACAGACATATTTTATTTGGGGGTGGGGGATCCAGGGAGGGCCTAGCCCTGATGGGGGAGGGGAACAGTTCCAACACATTCAGAAGGTGGGGATATTTTTCCCCTAGTTTTCAGGACAAAGAGGGAAAAAGAACATGGGTCTTTTTGTTGTTGTTGTTTCCTTCCAGGTTTTGTCTGCTGAAAGATAATGTCCAAAGTTCACTGTTTAAGTTCCTCTTGTACGAGTCAGGCACCTATTCAATGACTGTTAGCAACAGAGAGTTTTAATGTGCCCCTTTACACACAACAGACTCCTGTATGGTCATTTTCCCTTAGAGAGTCACCAATGGAGAGAAGCGCAAACACAAATTCTCTAAAGTTTGCTTTAAAGCAGTTAAAACTTTCAACTGAAATTTTCAACACACACAAACTGTCAGTCAAAACCGCAAGGGCAGCCCTTAGAGTACATGTCCCAAGCATGCTGTCACCTATTTGCTACTGTCTCTAGAGCTCAGATAAATCAGGGAAATATGACTAACTTAGAGGGGCAAGCAGAGAGGCCAAGAATCTGGGGCCCTGGGTCTCCCTAGGGCCTAACCCCTAGGTATGGCGGCCAGAGTCCAAATCTGGCCTAGCTAGACAGCCCGAACAAAGCCAGGGAACCTCAATTCAAGTTCAGAATAGCCCCGTCCCCAGTCTGCGTGGCCATGTAGAGTCCTGCCAAGGCTGGGCTGAGCGGTGTCAGACCCGGGGATCTGAGTCTGTCCCTCAGCCCCAGACTCACAAGATCGGGCCCAGCACCCATCCAATGCCCTCACCGGACAGGGTCAGCCGGTATATCACACACACTGGCCTACAATGTAGGGTGCTCAGCCTGGATCTTAAACACACACTCGTATGGAATTTATACACTTTTGCCCGTGCACGTGTGACCACACTCACCCGGGAACATTCAGACACGTGGGCACATATACTCCCTGGCACCCACGATAAACACTCGATAAACGGATAAGCGGGAGCCTAGCCCGTCCACGCGCACTGGTCCACCTCAAACTCACAGCCGGTTCTCCCCACCGCGGACCCCCCCACCCCCCCCCCCGGTGTGCACACGCACGCACTCCGGAGCAGCGGGGCGGCTGGAGCCCAGCCACAGACACCTCGGCCTCCTGCGGGCGTCCCCGCCGCCTCCCCAGGCACGCGCGCGCTCCCACTGCCTCGGGCGACGGCCCCACGCCTTGGCCCGCGCCCCTTGCTGGCTCCAGGCCACTCACCGGCGCCGGTGGCTCTCTCGGTGGCGGGTCGCACAGGAGTTGGCGGCGCTATGGCCGCAGCTAGTCCGCTTGGTTCAGCCGCCGCTTGTGCGCGCGCCCGTGCGCGCGCCCGTGCGCCCGCCCCTCCCCGCTGCCTGTGCGCGCCACCTCCAGAGCCCTGCGCGCCGCCGCCACGCAGGCTAAGGGGGCGCCGGAGGCGCGCTCCCACACTGAACGCTTGATCAACCAGCCAGGGTGGGGAGACTGAGGCCCAGACTTCAAGTCCTGGCCTCTGAACCCGTCTATATGGGCTCCAAACTCCTGAGATGCAGGTTCGCAGAGACCCATGGGGTCCCTATAAGCTGGAGATGAAGTTCACTAGGTAGAGTGCTTTCCTAATTACAGCACCTGTAACCCCAGCACTAGGGAAGTGGAGGCAAGAATGTGAGAAAGTCAAGGTTATTCTTGGCTTTGTAGCAAATTCCAAGTCAGCCTGGGCTACACGAGACACTGTCTTAAAAATAGTGCTCACTGTGTTCAATAGTCCAAGTAGTGCTCAAGATAGGTACAGAAGTAGGTTCCAAGGGTAGATCCACGCCCCGGTGTCTATTGGTGATACTGACTGGGTGGGAACATCAGCCCAGCCATGTCAGTTCTGGAAGGAGTAAATGACTCCATAATGGGCCGTTCAAACAGCCCGGCGGGAACCCGAATCTGATTCCCCATGGTGGAAGGAAAGAACTGACTCTAACAAATTGTCTCTAACCTCCACTTGTCCTTCACATACATGCACATTGTATGATGTGTGTGTATTTAAAAAAAAAAAAAAAAAGCCTTCATCTATGAATACTTAACAACCCCGCTAGGATGCCCAAGCCTCTGTGGGGAGAAGGTAAGGAAACTCAAGAGGGGATGCTCCTGGCTGGGACAGGCATTGCTGCCTCTCACTGTTCTCGACCACTATCCATGTCCCCCAGAGCACCTGCCAGCTCTCCATTACTCAGCTGCACTGACTAGGCACAGGATGGTATCCTGTTGAGTGTGCTTCAGCAACCTACTCTACCTGAGTCCACAGCAATCAGGCCATAACCTATGCCTGCCTCGTGGAGTTCAGCCCCTTGTGCCTGTTTCTTATATGGTGTTCATGAGGCTTGTGCCCAAAGTCCTCCAGATGGTGAGTGCTTGAACTGGAGCAGAAGACAGATGTCTGGTTTCAGCACCTTATTGCTAGGCAACCTGTTCTAGGATACTGATGTAAGAAAGATGTGGTCACCAGCCCAGAGCAGCTAGGCTGCTCACTGCTCCTGGAAGCCAGGAGCTGATGCCAGCAAGGTGTCTCTGACTTCCACATATACATTGTGGATTGTGGCATGTTCTAAGCATGAAACTGAGGCTCAGAGAGCTCAAGCAAAAGGTCCCTAGGTCACACAGCCAGTGCTGACCCTTACAGGGAGGAAGGTCTGGCTACAAGCAAGCTGCCCATGGCTGAGTGTTTAGAGCTTCAATGCACACAGAACACACACACACACACACACACACACACACACACACACACACACAGAGAGAGAGAGAGAGAGAGAGAGAGAGAGAGAGAGAGAGAGAAGGGGCAGAGCTTACATATGGCTTCTGCTATCTTAAGGTGGGCAAAGTCATACCCACACTGTTCCTGTGTTTCTTCCTCCTCATTCCTATTCCCTTCTCTTCGGCTGTGGACTGAGCAGATGTGATGCAGACCCTGCTGACAATACTGTGGCATAAAATCAAGTCAGCTCCAAGTTCTTCACACTCCCTGCAGCACCCATTTTTCTGCAGGGGAGGGGAGGAGGGGAGGTACAAGGCCACTTTTGTTTTCAACTCACATGAGTTTTAATGAGTCCCAAAATGAGTCACTTTGAAGAAGAGGTACTTGCAAAATGCCTTCCAGATTTAGAATGGCTGTCTCCCTGTGCACCAGGTCTGCCTGTGGTGCCTCCCACTGCCAGCCACAACTGGGAATGTGGTCTCAGGGGCAGACTCTGCGTCTGCCCAGGAGACTTTCAGGATGAGGTTGTGTTGTTTCATTCTTGCTCTGCAATAGAGGAAGAGAGACCATCTCTGTACCTTCCTTGGGGAGCAGCCAGGATCTTCTGCTGCTGGCCCTGCCAATCAGCTAGCAGTGACCTCTATGGGAGACCTTTGTTCTCTTTATTCCCCAAGGGCAGCAGTTCATGGGCTGCAGATGAAGACACAGTGGCTCACAGAAGGAAAGAGGTGTGAGCCTGGGTAGGATTTGCTCCTGAATTGCTGGGGTATATATGCAAGAGGGCAGTTCCAGGGAGGGAGGCATGAGAACCAGAACCAGACTGTATCTTGGCACACTATGGGAGTTACGTGTCTCATCACTGGCTTCTTGGTAGGATTTTAGTAATTTTTAAAATTTTTTTATTATTATTTTGGTTTTTTTGTTTTGTTTTGTTTTGTTTTAGATAGGGGATGTCTCATGCTCCTCAGGCTAGCCTTGAACTCCTGGAGCTGATAGCTTTTTTCCTTATCTTCCCAAGAAGTTGGGCCTTACCAATTCCAATGGTGTCTGGAGTGCGAGGTTTGCCTCCCATATGCTGTGATTATCCACAGCAAACTTCTTGTCCCGAAAATTATTCCACTTGAAAGATCAATGGCATACATCTTTCTGAAGGGCAAGGGTGGAGGGAAAAGTATGCAGTACCGTAGCCCCCTCCATCTGGAGACACCTGCCTGTTTGGGAACTCCTTTGGAGGACCTCACGTTATTTCAAGTGCAAAACTAGACTTTAAGGTTGCTGGGCCCTCCATGCTCCACATCTCAGCATCTTGTGTTAAAAGCAGAGAACCTGGCTAGCCAGAGAAATAGTCAGGACACCCCCACCACTTGCAGCTGGTAAAGTGGTCTCGAAGAGTACCCATGCTGGCTAGTTTTATGTCAACTTAACACAAACTAGAGTCACTGGAGAGGAGGGAACCCCAGTTGAGAAATG